TTTGTCTAATGTTCCTGTGTTCTATTTGATATGCTTGCAGTGGGAGTACGGCATGGGAGATTTGTTTTTATAAATCAGTGTAATTCTGTACGAAGGTTATCGATCAATACAGGTGATGACTTATGAGGACTTTGGTCAAGCCTAAACATCTGCCTAAAGTTACGTGATTACTTCTCCTAGCCATAGGTGGATCTTTAGGGACCAACGACAAAAACCTAACCTATGTATTTGAAATATATGAGTGGGACTTGAGCACTATGATGGATTCTGATTTCTTATAAGATTAAGTGTATTCAAAAGTGGTTCATTAAAAATACTTCACTTAACGCGAGTGGATATATTCTTACCGATTTCTGGAATATTGTAGTGGATATTATACAACTCCTCAAATATTACTTTCACTGGCTGCTACACCAGCTTCCAGATTTCCAGATACTTCACCGCCGGTTATCAAGTTTGGATTCCCTTTTTCGCAGGGCTTATCCTCCTCTTTCCAACTAAAGAACGACCTAACACAAAAGGAAACTATAGAGAAGTTCATTATTTTGTGGCTAATATATATCAGGATCAATTTGCAGGACAACAACTAGATTCTACATAGTCTGTATTTCACGGTTTATTACTTTTGTCTATTCATTGTTTATTCATAAACAGTAAAATTCCATACCGTGTCTATAGTGGTTCTTAGTCTGTATTTCCACTACATATAATATTTGTGCATTTAACTGTTTTCGTTTCTGCTCAGCTTCCACTTGAAAACATACTGATCAGTTTGCAAAAATGACAAAGCGTAATAAGCGTGAGAATAGCTTGGGTGCCCTGGCTGAGAAGATACGTACATCACTCCAAGTTCCATGTAGCCTGAATAGTACTAGCAATTTGACAACAATCATATTCATATTTCGTATAAACGGGTGTTTACAAGAAATGCATGCCATTCTTACAGGCACAATCAGTTATGTTATAAAGTACAATCGTGAAGTATCATAAATTAATGCTTTTTCGAAAGTTCAAATTGTTCGACAATGGTACAAACGATGAGAACAGGTTCGCATAAATGTTAAATTGTAAACTCTTCACCATCAAAGTTGAGCAACAGCCAAACTTCGTTCCGTTTCATGCTGATAGCTATGGTGAACCAGTGAACCGGGTATATTTGGGTGAGTGCTATGTCGCCAAGTTATTAAAAGTTATTTCAGGAAGAGAAGAACGCCCTGGGAAACACAACAGTAAGTGTCCAGTTAAGCATACAAAGAAATATTGTGACAGCAATAGGTAATTTTCAGTCCATATGCGGCCAGGAACCAGAATAATGGATAACCAACCCATGCATAATGACAATTGGAGCATGTAGGAGCTGGGAATTATCATCACGCGGTTCAGTCAGATTTCAAATGCAACCATCAGTATGTGCTGATTATTTCTTAAATAACCAGATTTATTGGCGCGGGACAGATAGTTATTGGGATTTTTTATTGTTTTATAGGCAATATTCCACATCTGTCATCCGGAATGCGTCGCGGAGGAAGGTAATGGGTAATTCACGAGGCAGTTGTAGGATATGGGACCAGTAATGTTTGCAGATCATTTGTCATTGTAAGTGGTCAAATATCTACATTGTTTACTCTTGTACAAAACGTCATATAGAAGCTAAAATGGTGAGAGCGAAAGAAGAAGACAAACGACACCAGCACAGAAGAAAGCAAGTGGAGTCCTCAAGGAGTGACTTATAAATTTATATTTATATATATATATATATATATATCTGTGAAAGTAGCTGTGCTTATGTTGGTACACTAACTAACTAGTCCTGTTACGCAAACTTTTATATTATGTGTGAACTAATATTAATGGCCTGTGTAGAAATGTTTATCATGTCCTTCCAACAATATCGACATTTATAATTGTAGTTTGTTGTAATTTATACGTTAAATGAACTTAAAATATCTATGTAGGGTGAAAAAGAGGGTGTAGGAGTCAGACGCAGAAGTGTATTACCATCTTTGAGCAGTCTGGTGACTGAGGAGATGAACACTGGGAGTGTGTTTGCATCACGCACATTAGCCGATAGTCTGTTCCAAATGACTGAAAACTTATTTAAGAAGAAGAAGTTGTACCGCATATAAGTCTGACAGTGCTCTATAGCAACCAGGTTGTCATGATTTCCAAGATTTTAACTGATGACAACGGTAGATTTAGTTATTGGCCTGGGGGAGTGCAAGAGAAAATTAGTTTATGGTGGTGTGGTGAGAGCTGTTTGCAAGCTAAAATTGTAGACAACAAGTTACGTCAATGTTCACGTCCCAAGTAAGAGTCATGAGAAAAACAATAACAGAGCTTAACCCTGAGGAAATCACCAGCCAATTACACCGGAGTTAAAGTGTGGAAATATGATTCACAGATATATGGTTTGAATTTGGAGAACACGATACTTTTCAGCAACAAAACTACTAATCAGGAGAGGTCGCCTCTCCCCTAACAATAACGCTAATAACAAAGCACATGAAAATCTAAGAATACCTCTTGATTTTCCCAATAAAAGATGTGTTACACGGGCCTTGTCTTCTGCCGTCACAGAAGAAAATAAGGTTTAGATTAAGACGTCTTTTGCAGAGTGGTTCTATTTTCAGTCTGTCACAACGCTCAGAGTATTCCAGACTACATTGTAAACCAAGAGTTGTTGGGGTAAATTCCCGTTGCACTGCGTCTAACTTAAGCTTGTCATTCTGTCGCAGTCCGCTAAGAATAACCTTGCAGTATTCTAAAACACTTCGGACATATACTTTGTATAATAAAACCCTAGTTTCACGACGAAAGCAATTGCGAGTTATGCCTCCTTGGAGCCTTCGTGTCTTAAGTCTAGCATGATCAGTTTGCTCAGAGAACGTTGAATTACTGGAGTATCTGATACCGAGATCTACGACTGAGTTGGGCTTGGCTAGTTTTCGCCCATTTACTTCAAGAGTTAGTTCGAGGTTACTGTTGCCGATACGAATCCAGCCCCAGCCGCATTTGTCAATGTTAAACTCTAGACAGGATTCAACACACCATGTTGCGAGACTACTTAGTTCAAGATGTATTTTACTTGCCATATCGTTTAATTCATGACTGTAGCAGGAGTAAACGACTTTGAGGTCATCAGCATATATGAATGGTCTAGCTGATGCGAAGCAGTTACAAGTGCTGTTAATATAGACTGTAAATAAAAGTGGACCTAGGACATTACCCTGCACAACCCCACTTGTGATCTGCCTAGGATGAGACAATACAGATTCGACTTTGGTTATTTCCACCCTGTTGCTTGGAAATGACTCTAACCAGTTTGGCCATGGATTCCGAATACCAGCTGATGAGAAATGAATAGAAGAGGATGGAATGCAAACGTTCAATTGGAGCCCTCTATTTTCCGCTAGGAATCCAAGGGAATAATAATATTTTATAAATATATATAACACAATATATATAATTTATTCCTATTTAGCTTCATCGCAAATTGTTTCCATTCAGTTTCCCACCCTATTATTAGTAACGACTTAATGTGTGATGAACAAAGCTCACTTTAACAAGTAGACTGGTGTGAAACAGAAATCCACAGTCGCTCAGTAACCATCCAAGGGAGCTTCTGTTCCACTCGTTGACTCTATCTATTATAAACCAAGTTTCCGCTTAAGTTTCAATCAAAAGCCATTACATCTGAAGTGATTTCAGCTAGTTTTACCAACAACCGGTAGTAGCAGTAGCAGTAGTAGTAGTAGTGTGGCGTGTGCTACTGACAAGCCTTATCGGTAGTACATTAAGAAACGTCCATCGGCACAAAATTATGAAATAGCCGAGAGAGATTTGACATCAAAAAGAGAGAAAATGAACCAGTACTGAGCCAATGCATGGAAGACTCGAACAGAAGAACGAAAACGACACGAAAGAGGCAGTAATAGCACAACACTGAACACCTGTACAGCAAATGATGATTTTCATATAACGTGGCGTACATAGTTCCCTTATGTGTGTATATATAATTCCTAATAAACACGCCGTTACCAAGTCTCTTGCCTTCCACCGTTACATTTGGTTTCGCTTCCTGCTGCTTTCCAAGAAGCAAGTATAAGGAGCTTCTTGCGGCTCTCCAGTGCAGTCACCGTGTTGGTAGGCATCACCATCTGACAACGAAGGTCGTTGTGCTGAGGTCGGGTGAAGGCGGTTTGATGCACTGTCGAGTCGCCAGGTGATAAAGAAACCTGGAAGGTATTGGCTGAAAGACTGTTGGCGGAGTTCGACGAACAGACAGCTGGCAATGCAGCACTTCCATGACGCCAAGCTGGGACTCAACTGAGACCCATTCATCTTGACGGTGAATTTGGGGAATCTATTACTTCGCGCACTCCCCATATTGGTTAAAGACACTGTCTCAGTTATTGACTTACAAATTCACCCAGAGTCTTCCAAACTAATAATGATAACATAGATAAGAAAGAATATTAGGAATCTGTAGTTGTACCATGTTAGGAGGAGACATCTGACACCTTACGTAGGATTCCTAATAAAGCGGGGATTAGGGTGGCATTTAAATCCACAGACTCACTCAGATACGGCAAGCTCTGTAGGTTGAAGGACTCTGTAAGTTGACCTAACCACACAAAATAATGTAATTTGCAAAATACCTTGCAATGACTGTGGAAAGGGCAACTACATAGATCGTCGCTAGAAAGATGTACAGACTTGCTAAGTACCAGACAAGCATTCTGAATCTATGCTGAGATTTCCTAGGTGATCACTTCACGTGAGCTGATGCAAGTCTCCAAATTAAGTGAAATATTCAACATACTTAGTTATTCCGCCTCCTAGCAAAAGAATCACAACAAGTACTGCATAAAATTACGCATTTAGCAGCATAACAATCAAAAAATCAACACTTGAGTATGAGAAAAATATATATTGAAAAATGCTGAGTGCATAAGATACAACAAAGATGTTTGTATTCGCAACCAGCATACACACAAGTGTCAGCGCCTCCTTTTGCGTGAACTGCCAACACCTACAGCGGGAGTGACTGCTGATTTACTCGGTGTTTGAACCACATCATCTGAAGTTGTAAGAATGTTAGCCCAGCGTACCGACTTTCTTATTCGTTTTCGATTAGAAGTATCTAAATGGAAAAATCATAGATGAGGTATGACTTCACACGAAAATAATTTGCATGCATCAACAGAGTATAGAAGATGCCTCAAATTACAATGGGTTTTCGTCTCATGGGTACATCTAGTAAAAATAAACAATCGATTGTGAAGTAAACCTAAGTTGTCAGACTGAAGTCTTCTGCTGCACCTTGCACATTATTGGAAGTGGAGACCTTTCGCCTAAATCTGCATCATAGGTTTGTGACTTTAATGAGACGATATTTCATGCTGACATGACCTCAAGATCCATCAAACTGTGATCCTCCTCAAAACATCCAACTACGGACATTAGTGGGTCATACTTTTAGTTGCAATTCACACCCACTTAAGCTTAAATAACCACACACACACACACACACACACACACCAGGAATGCATCTCACGACCGCTTTTGTCGGATATACTATCAATTACATAGGAGAGACGACATTAACTACTTTCCAAGCAAATGCAAAAACATCACAATATTCATTAGAAGTGTCTCTCTCCAGTATTCATGACCAGTCCCTTAACTGATTTCATAGAAAGATCTAAATGCTGTTGTGACTTATGCGAAGTCTTGCAAATATTCCAATAAAAACTGTCTCCTAGTCTACGAAATTCACCCAAGAGAATGATAACTCACATTCTCGAAAATTCCCATCTTCCTACTTTATATATATACGTATATATCGCCTTAGGAATAGCTGGCGTTTTGTCACATAAATACCAGAAATATGACTGGAGTGTTAGTTGTAATATTGGGCTGCTACCTTACCTAAAAGTGAAGATTTCCGTGTAGCTGTATCGCTTCGGTGAATAACACGGGGAAACGGCAATTCCTTCAATGAATCAAACTCCTCCGGTAGACTAAATTCTTGCATTTTACCTTGAAAAGGGTTCCCTTCAGATTCATGCTTCACAGAAACGTTCCAATATTTTAAGAAATAGAAATTACCAGTTCTTCCATATTGAAAAGTGTATCCAGTTTCTTCCAAATATCATCAGGAGTTACTGGTTCACGAAGAACTGAATTCAGATGATTGCACAAACACATCATTTGGAAGTGGCGAAATACCCCAACGGGTTTGTGCTTAATTAATCCTCGGAAAAGTTCAATTTCCGATTCACAGGTCCATTCATATGAATCGGTCCTGTCAGTAGCCATATTTATTCAATTCTAGGGCACTGAAAATCCAATAATCAAAATTAAAAGTATTAGAAGTAGGCAAATCGCAAGAGGCTTATATAAGAAATACTACAGAAATATTTCTCTCTTGGCTGACCAGTTTATCAGGAAGAACACGAGTGAAGCAATGAGACCAGAAATACTAATCGCAATACCCACAGAAACGATGTGTGATTTTACTAAATGAAGCAAGTTGATAGTCACAGAACTGCAAGGTGACTTAATGTCAGTAAAACGTTTGATCAAATATAGTATAATTATATTTCAATGGTTTACACACAATGATGAGTTTTGTTATCGCTAATATTTTGAGCAAAATTACTGCCCGTCTTCACAACACTGTTGGAATTGTTTTGGTTTTTTATTCACACATTTATGATTTGTACTCACATATATAGTTCTTTTATTTTGTTCATTCATTTTTGTGAATTCAGAATTGTATTCCAGGTTGTTGACAGTTGTACTGAGTCACCCTTGTTACATGTATCCGGTGTGACCTTAATCAATTTGATTGTGTTATAAGTCTCTCTTTCCATTTGTTCATATTACTTTTTTAGAATACAAACATTGTTCCAATCGATATTGTGGTTTTTGTCCCATTCATGTGCAGCACAACGTTTAAACCGATGAATCTAATTGCAAATAAAATAAATCAACTGAAAGATCCCATAAAAATGATGGATAAAAAAATGTGATCCACAAAATATCTTGTGCCGAGTGTCGGACTAAATGTGTGGGTCAAACGTCCAGATTACTCAAAATAAGAGTGAATGAACATAAACGCCTAACTAAAGGTCAACTAACACGAACGTTGTACTGCACATGAATGGGACAAAAACCACAATATCGATTGGAACAATGTTTGTATTCTAAAAACTAATATGAACAAATGGAAAGAGAGACTTATAACACAATCTAATTGTGTATATGTAAGTTCAAATGTTCCCATGAAGCTGACTACCTCAAATGTACAATAAAGTCTCCAAACCCTGCAAACATCACCATTCTACATGGTTAAGCATCAGAGTGAAAACAACACTTGGAAGCCCCATACACACCGACCTGCAGTGTTTATTTATCTGCAGACAGCGGGAGCAAGCTAGGCCATACAGTTGAAAATTCGCCTACATATTCAAAATAATAATTTCTTTTCCATTGACAATATAAAAAAATATCACTTTCAAAGAACAAGATCGTGCATAGATAGCCTCAATCATTTAGCTAGAACCTAGTGACCAGGATTCTTCCATGAGCCACACGACGTGTGCGAGCTATTGGCACTACTCAGTCTCCCAGAATGAAGTGCACCGGCACTCGAGGCCAGAAGCTAATGACTGAAAGTAAACTGCTGACGTCAATGAGCTTCATTTTCATCTTTATCTACCCGCAAGCTTCAAGTGGCCTAAAGGTCAAATAGTGTACCGTTCTGACAATCATTGTCGCACGAAGTTTTTTGCTCTCAATGTCACCAAAAGAAAAGTCGGTTAAATAGGGAATTGAGGATTAGACACCTGTTTAATTTGGCCTTGAAAAGTGATCTGCCAGTGATTTCACAGCTGGTTAATCATCTCCATCAAAAAATGATAGATTTCGGCTTGATAGAAGACAAGAGGCATTCAAAAGATGCCATGGATGCTCAATGGTCGGATGATGAAACGTGACAATTAAAATTAGACTTCGAAGATGCCTATCATTTATGGACAGCGAGGCGAACCAAAAGCTCTTCTGAAAGATGTCACAATCTCCATAGAAATCACCTACATAGTAAATGGGAGGAGAAAATAAAACTGTAATAATTCAGAAATTTCAGCAGTTAATAATAAAGCAGCCTGTAAGAAACTATTGAATAAATTGAAGTATGATGAAAGCCACAATCCTAAATCGTCCTCTCAGCCTTCATCCCTATTCATCTATTACGCACCACCGTGCTTTATCACCAATAGACCAGATTACCAGCATCAGGATGGGAATGTCCTTAATACTCGTATTCATGTTAATTGCCGAAGAAACAACGATGAAAGACCACAGAAAACGGAACCCACTCTTCCTCTTATCAGCTGTTGTATCCCATGTAATAGATAGACGCACCTAATAATAGATTGATGGCCTATCAATACATGAAACATATCGAAGAACTAGTTCCTCATAATTATCATAGTGGTGAATAACATGTATAAATACTCATCTCACCACTATTCTCCATTCCTTTATGTATATTGCTGTTGGTTACTCTTGTCTGTTATCATCTTTTCTTCTCAGGTTATTATGCATTCCTGGACTACTAGTTTTTGAGAGAACAATTAATAAAGACAGATTTCCCTGTGTGCTAAACAAACATGAAATAAAACGGACAAAACAAATACAAACAAGTATGCATGTAGAAGGGTATTCAGTCCACATAAATCAGTATACACATAGAATGCAGTCATTTGAAAAGCTATAATTGTACCAAAATACTCAAATGTATATAGACGTACAGAATGGTAGAGAAGAAATAGTTCGTTTCCTGGGAACACAGAATCTCACTACACGTAAGATATGCCAAGGACCGGAGTGCACGTGCGGAGAGAAACGTAGATGATAGCGATTTACTGATCAGCAACGAGGCAGAATTGTTTGACAGATACGAAAGTTGATAAGTCGGAGCTGGAGCTGGAGCAATTGTCGTCTGTATTTCGCGCGGAACTATGCACTGTCCTTGTCCAATATAGCTAAACAACCATGAATTTATGTGAATTCACTCTTCTCACTGTTTTATAGTGAACTTAAAATTCGATATTTTCCGATCACCGTACTCCTCCTTCTCTTAGAATTTTCGAGAGACTAGCGGAACTGTTGTTTTCTCTGCTACTGACGATGAGAAGTACAATTGTGACAATAAAATTCATTATAATGATACATAGCACTATGCGAATACAGAGTAAGAAGGGGTTCAACGCTTTTGTGATTAGTTTGACACAAACTTCTGAACTGGAAGTGGATGATAATTCAATGAATATATATATATAAATATTACAGAGAGTGAACACACACACAGAAAAAATATTTGTATAAATAAACACAGATTTGTATACGTCAGCTCTGTAGAGAACACATATCCAATATCCTGATTACGAGCTAGTATAAACCAGTGATTTCTTTGAGCTCGCTTCTTGGTTGTAAGGTACGGGTTCCAGATCTTCGGTGAACTTATGCGCAGTAAATCCCGCCACTCGACTGCTTTAGCTCTGGTAGACTCCAAGAAGAGTGGTGCGAGGATTGGTCAAGATTGTGGTTTGTAGTGTGCAGTATGTTAGGACTCAGCTGCTGCCGTGAATGGAGTTTGAAATAACACCCGTTGGTCATTTGGTGTAGTCATAAAAGTAGAATAATAATAATAGGTTGTAGTGTAGATAATATAGGTTGAGATAAGTGAAATAATAAAGGCGAAATAATAAAGAAAGAAAGAAAAGATAGAGTAGTCAGTACAGTGGAAGAACACAGGACGGGTCGTCGCGATTTAGCTTGTATGCTTATCCATTGACAATGTGGTTTCAAATTTTAAGAGGGTAAGCCATCGAGACACAAACCATGCATTTCTGCATGATTGTCCAGCTTCCGCTCAAAAGTCTCCACAGATGGAGCTGTAGTTACGGCCGCCGGTAAAGCGTTCCAGAGACGGCAAACTCGAAGTGAGAAGAAATGTGAACGCACTCGAGTCTTTGGTCTCTGGTGTGCTATCCTTAGTGGGTTATCTCGTGGAAGCCTATAATCACTTAATGGCAGGATGCTCTTATTAGGGTGGGCCTGGTAATTTAAGATCTTATAGACGGTGATGAGGTCTCCCCTGTGACTACGGTAACTAAGTGTGAAAAGACTTAATTTCTTCAGTCTCTCCTCATATGATTTGTTGCGGAGGCCGATCACCCATTTTGTCGCTCGTCTCTGGACACTTTCTAGAATGTCAGCATCCCTTTTGAGTAGCGGAGGAGCAATGATAGTATGCACCTCAAGGAGTGGCCTCACGTATGTCGTATACAACGTTAAGAATAGTCCACGAGTAATAGCTTCCAGCTGCCTATGCATAAAGTGTAAAGTAGCGTAAGCTTAGGCGACGTCCCTCGTGTAATTTACACTGGTGTCTGGCTATTCCGTTAGAATAAGACCTAGATCGCGCTCTGATGGAACACAACTCAAGTTCTGGCCACCAAGGGTGTACTCTGTGACGTGCCGGAATGAAGTTGCACTACTTTGCACTTCTTTAGGTTGAAAGGCATTCCGTTAGCCAGAGCCCAGTCTCCCAGAGTTTGCAGGTCAGCCTGCAATCTGTTGGAGTCTTCCGATGAGTCTATTGCTCTCCAAATCTTTACGTCGTCAGCGTAAAGAAGTGCAGAGCAATTCAGTTGACAGGGCAGGTCCTTGATAAAGACCAAAAACATCAACCGCCCTAAGATAGAACCCTGAGGAACCCCTGATTCCGAGGTGTGCCAGAATGATCGGATGTGGTTGACTTTGGTGCAGAATTCTCTTTCGCCTAAATAATCTTCCAGCCATGCGAGAAGTGCTCCAGAAACACCCGCTTTGCTTATTTTGTGAGGGAGCAGACCATGGTGAACTGTGTCGAATGCTTTCGCAAATTCGAGAAAGATCACATGGACTGGTGCCTTTACGTCCCAGGATAGTGTCCAATCGTTCCAAGCTAGTAGAAGATTCGTCAAACAGGATCTTCCTCTCCTGAAACCGTGCTGTGCTTCATGGAGTAGGTAAGTCCCGTCGAAGTATTTCCTCATGTGGTCGTCAATGAGACTTTCCAATATCTTCGATATCACTGGGAGTAGCGCAACTGGTCTGTAACTGGTCGCGTTCTGCCGGTCACCACCCTTGAAGATAGGGGATAGGATGGCTCGTTTCCATTCACATGGAAGTTTCCCTACATCAAAGGAGCGTTGAAACAGATCACTTAGGGGTAGACAGAGGCTTTCTGAACACTGCTTCAGGACGGATGGTCTTATGTCATCGC